ATATGCATGTAACTAAACATAATAAAGACTCGCGTAACACGTATAATGGCGTAGACACCAGACAGCAACATCAAAGGGTTTCGCCACGAGTTACATAACTGTATATCATTAAGATTCAACACGATCTCCGAGTTGAATTCATGATTATCATTAAAATGTTAACTCTCATTTATATTCATGATATGATGTTCAAGTCATGCGCAAAACATACTGTAATTCCGAAACGTACGCGCAGGACATGCTAATATTTTGTTATCAACATGGCCGACGACGAGTTGTGAGTAGTTTTTGATTGACCGTCGTCGAAATGGCGTTGCCTGTGCGCTTAAAGAAGAAGAAAAACCTGACAACGGAAGACGCACTAAAGCGCGTGAATGATCTTTTAACGGACCATCCTTTGTCAACATCGAAAAGAAAAAAAAGACGAAATCCTGTTCGGTTTGAAATAACAACTCATCCTAGAACAGGCCTTCGTAAATTTGAAGGAACGTATGACCCGTCTAGAAGAACCAGGTTAGCTCTTTTAGTTGTAGAAAAGTGTTTACGGCAATACAGGGTAGTCAAGTAAACATGCAATCAGTCCTTCTGCTGTTCGCTGGCTGAACACAATATGGCCACACAATATTGTAGTAGTTGGCTGAACACAACATGGCCACATGTAGGGACATTCTGTGAGGTCAATATAACTTGGACCCAAGCTGGCCTGAGGTTTAATGCCTCAACGTCACGTTGGTAGCCAATAGATGTGTTGTTGACTTGATTTTGCATCTATTGGCTACCAACGTGACGTTGACGAGTTAATTGACACACACAAACGCAACTCCTATCCTTCCCATTTTATTGACAATGTCATCAAACAATACAACGACAAAACCGACCCACACACAAATATTAACTTTACTCATCAACCTACAACACAACCTAAGGCTACTAACGATGCGAACACCTACTATTTCAAACTGCCACACATCGGCTATCACTCACAGATCACTAAACGGAAACTACACAACCTGATTAAACGCTTCTGCACTGATATATCAACTTCAAAATCATTTATTCTTCTTTTAAAATCAAAAACCTATTTTGTTTTAAAGACCCTATTCCTTCCACCCTTAAATCATGCGTAGTATATGAATTTTCATGTGCGGGATGTAATGCCCGTTATGTTGGCGAAACCACTCGTCATTTAATCACACGCATTAAGGAGCACACCACCTCTGATAAGAACTCGCACGTATACAAACATCTCCACAATTCACCACAATGCAAAGCTGCAAACACTGAATCCTGCTTCCGCGTACTAGACCATGCACAATCTCAGTTCTCTCTCAAACTCAAAGAAGCTCTCTACATCAAAAAACTCAAACCAGATCTCAATAAGCAAATACAGCATTTTAATACCATTTTCAACCTCGTACCCAGGGTCTTTACTCTACTCGTGGGGAGAAAAGACCCTGGTTGGGGCTGGTCACGTGTCACGCGGATTTCGCGTGGTAAATTTATATTCTTATCTGGGAGGGGTGACAGAGGAGTTGTATTGAAAATTGAAATTTAGATTGGCCATCATTTTGTTTTGATTATACAGAATTCGCAAAAGTTTGGATTTCTTTTTCGCTAATATGAACTTATATAAATCTTGGATTGAAATTAAATACATCCTGTTGTCAAACGCATCACACATGTAGTAATATTAAATTACACAAGTCAAAAATTCCGGTGAATACGGTCAAATTTCACTCAATCGATCTCGGGTCTCGACCGCCGAAGAAACTCTACACAAAACGAAGGGAATGACTGGGAATCGACAGCTATTTCTCGCTGTAGACGTTGTAACTGTGTCGCTGATCCAGGGCAAAGTAAAAATCTCTTTCATGAAAGGAATAAGACCATTTTACGAAACGCTGAGGTCGTTTATGGCAACGAGTTGCGACAAGACATAAACAACCTTCCACATTTGGTTTGGAGATTAAACTTTATTCAGTTCAAGAATATTGTTACCGAAACACGGCGATCATTACAAGAAGATACACGTATTAAACGTTGTGTCGAAATTTCACCTTCTGTGGCAAAACCGTCAGCCAAGGCTCGAGCGAAGCATCGATTTCAATATTGCCACTGTCGGCGATCAGTCGCCTAGTTCGAAATCGGAATTGCACGTAAGTAAATTTATTAAAATTTAACTACAATCATTTTCAAAAGAGTTAGGACAGGTAGCCAAATTACCGATTTATAAGACAAACCCAGATCCCCCGCGCCCCCTTTTCAATGTTGTGTCCCAAATAGATGGACATTTTGTTCCGAAACGTGTTTGGATTTGAAAACCAACATTGATTGGGGGGAGGGGGGGGATGTATAGAAATCATCCTATATAGTAGATTTTAGCTAAAGATAGTAGGTGTCCCAACTACTTTTGAAAATGATTGTCTGAAAGCTTAGTTAACTATATTGATTAAATTAAGGTATTTACTCAAATTAAACCAACCTAAAAGAGCTATCATCACCCTATGCTTTGTAAATTGTATATAGTTTTCATTAATATTTATGTATTCTCAATTTGCGGTTTATTTCTCGGCAAATCAGAGCTATAATTGTGCTATAAAAGTAAAATTTACTAAATGAAATGTATCACCACAATGTATATTAGGGAAAGTGTTTGCGTTGAGACATTATTGCTGCATTTGCAAGAGATAAATGCGCATTTATCTGCTAAACTAGCAACTTGTATTCTAGTGAGTAGGATGCAAAGGTGAGCTGATAAACAGCACGTACAACTGTGCATATTTGACGCAAATAGTCGACTGTGACGTGCGTATGTGGTTTAATATGTCATGCTATACAATAGTGGGTCAGCCATACATGTCAGTATATTATATAGGATAAACCGTTTCCTCGATATCCTTTATATATAATTGCCAAAATGGTCTTCGTACAAAAGATTTCTGATGAGACGCGGGCGCTTGTTCGATTCTTAAGTATGGAAAATAAGTATTCGATTCGTGAAATTGCTAAAAAAGCTAAAATCTCTAAGTCAACTGTCGCGCGATATTTGAAAACACCGAGGCTAAAGCAGAAGAAAAGGTCATCTGCAAGTACGGGGCGACCTAAAAAGCTATCTGTTCGTGATCGCAGGCATTTAGAGCGTAGTATAAGAAAGTTGCGTGATGTTAATCCGAATTTCACATTGAAAGAGCTTATTCGCTTCAGCGGACTTGAATCTTCGGGAGCATCTTATTCAACGTTCTACAGAGAGATTAAGGGCGCAGGATTCAAGTTTTTGAACGCTAGAAAAAAGGGAGTTCTGAATCGTCGTGATTATGCCAAACGGTACAAATTTGCAAAGAAATGTGAAAAAATTTTGAAAATGAAACCAAGTTTATTCCACTCTAACATTTCGTTTTACTTGGATGGAGTTTCGTTTGTATTTAAGCGCCAACCAATACATGATGCTACTGCCCCAAAGGGTAAGATATGGAGAAAAAAGTCTGAAGGGCTACGAGTAACAAGCAAGGGCTCGAAAAATTTAGCAGGAGGGAAACGATTACATCTCCTTGTGGCTATTGCCTATAACAGAGGCGTAGTTCTGGCCAAGGAGTATGAGCATATGAGTGGGGAATACTTCAGAGATTTCGTTGAGACGAATTTGTCAAAGCTTTTCACTGGAGAAACAGAAGAAAAGTGGTTCGTTATGGATAACGATCCTTCCCAGAGAAGCAAGGCTGCCAGAAAAGCAATAATGAAAGCACGTGCTACTTTATTTGCTATTCCACCACGTTCACCAGATCTTAATCCAATCGAGAACTTATTTCATGTAGTGAAACGAGAGCTTGAGAGGCAAGTCATCGCCAGGAGCATACAGCAAGAAACGTGGCAGGAATTTAAAACAAGAGTTCAGAAAACTATATTCGAAACACTAGTTAGTTATATTAACAATCTATTATTAAGCATGCCTAAGCGCATTGAAGCTGTTATCAAATGTAAAGGATTTAGAACGAAGTATTGAGCAAGTGAAACATGAGATCTCAAAAGGCAATTGATAAAAGGAGAATAGTGCGAATAGTCGACGAATAGTGCGAATAGTCGACGAATAGTGCAAATAGTCGGCGAATAGTGCGAATAGTCGACGAATAGTGCGAATAGTCGACGAATAGTCGACGAATAGTGCGAATAGTCGGCGAATAGTGCGAATAGTCGACGAATAGTGCGAATAGTCGACGAATAGTCGCATTGTGACATATTCTTCTGTAACTCCCAAATTCTTCTGAGAGCTACGCTGCTTTGGTGTGCCGTTAACGCCACAAATTGAACTCCACTAAATTCGCTAACCACGATGATAGGATAACACGTGCGCGGATAATGGTTATAAAATGTATCTTTAATGATAAAGTTTATAATACTATGCGGTTGAAGGTATATGGTAACTGATCAATCCGGTAACGGAATATTGAATAGAGTGATCGCGGAATAGAAATATAGTGGGTAACGTTCGAACTAAAAATACAAGAATTAAACCGCACTAAGTCATGCAATCTAGGCAAATTAAATACTATAACGGGCATGCACTAAATACGAATAAATCAACTAACGTAGCTACATATGTTTACAAACTATAATAACACAAAGATAGAGTCTTACTTTAGTTGGCGCACACACCAAACTGCTGCTGAATACCGTCGATAGAGTTCGAACATAAACGTAAATAACCAATTGTAGAGTAGAGTGACCATACTCTAGTTGACAGTGATATACAATGAAACATTAAACTGTGTGCAGCTGCGCGTGTAGTCGCAAGGAAGTAACAAAACGGAAATTAACGACATACGATAACAATAACAAAGTTAGGGTTTCAAACCAACATACCGGCCCCTTAAAGGCGGTACTACGAGCCTTTACAATACCGTTTTTTAAATGGTTTGAAACACGAAATAATGTCAATAACTAAATAAGTAAATGAATAAAGCGTTAGTTTTAATAACAATGTTTATCACGATCTCATACCAACATCAGGCGGCTTCTTCTAGGAGGACGATCTTGTCTACAGGCCTCACCAACTCGTTGCTGCTTGTCTTCAGTTTCACGGATCGTACCAGTCCGTCACGCTTGTTGCGGTACACTTCCAACACCCGAGCTAAGGGCCATACTCCTCTTGGTTTGCTGTCGTCTAGCACCATAACGATGTCGTTGACTGCCACGTTCCTCTTCGAAGCGTTCCACTTTTGTCTTTTCTGCAGTAAGGGGAGATACTCCCTTACCCAACGTCTCCAGAACAGGTTGCACAGATATTGCACTTGACGCCATCTCCTTCGGTTCTGATTGTCTTCCTTTCCAAAAACACCGGGTGGAAGGGCGGGTTGGTGACGTAATAGAAGCAAGTGGTTTGGGGTGAGTGGTTCTTCGTCCCGTGGATCATCTGACAGCTTCGTGATCGGTCTGCTGTTCACCACGGACTCTACCTCGCAGAACAACGTGTTGAGGCTCTCGTCGTGAAGCACTTGTTCCGTCATCAGCGCCTTCATGACCTTCCTTACGGTTCTTATGCACCTCTCCCACACTCCACCAAAGTGAGATCCAGCGGGTGGGTTGAAGGTCCACTTGACATTTCGTTGAAGCAGGAAGTCGTGGATCTGTTCTTGATTCCATTCGTCAATGGCTTGTCTTAGCACTCGTTCACCCTTGACGAAGTTTCCTCCGTTGTCCGAGCGGATCTCCATAGGTTGACCTCGCCTTGCCACGAATCGTCGGAGAGCATCAATGAAAGAGTCGGTGTCCAACGTGTGGGCCACTTCTAGATGGATCGCTCGTGTTGTCATACAAGTGAAGAGCACTCCGTACCGCTTGACACGACTTCTCGCACGTTTTACTTCGAACGGTCCGAAGCAGTCGACGCCTGTATACGTAAACGGTGGCAGCGAGGGCGTTACCCGGTCTTCTGGCAGGTCGGCCATCTTTTGATTGCATACTGTTGACTGACGTTTCTTACAGCTGAGGCACTTGCCGATGACCTTCTTCACGGCTGATCTTCCGTCTACGATCCAATACCTTTCTCTGATGAGGGAAAGCGTGTGCTCGACGCCGGAATGACCCGCGATGTGGTGGTAATGGTTTACAAGGAGTCCAATAACATGGTGGTCTTTCGGGAGGATGATAGGGTGTTTAGCGTTGTCGTTTATTGGTGCTCTCCGCAGTCTTCCGCCGACACGTACCAACCCATTCTTTAATACTGGATCCAGCTGGAACACGCGGCTCGATTTCTTAACCGTTACGTTCTTGCGATCTTTATCGCTACTTTGGTTTATTCTTTCTAGGCATTCTCGTTCTTCGCTGAAACATTCTTGCTGCACATGTCGAATTATTTCCTTCTCAGCGTTGACCATTTCGGACACGGAAATAGGCGTGATGGACGTTGAAAACCCGATCGCTTCAGCAGGATTTAACTTCTTCTGGATGACGCGACGTTTCAGGATCGCCTGGTAGCGCAAAACCAGCGCTAGGACCTTTTTCAGCCGACTCCAAGAAGAGAAATGCTTGACTAACTCTGCAAGTGGATGTAGATTAGAAATTTTGTTCGTGTACGTGGCGGATTGTCGCTTGACCTCGGGGTCGTTGTCTCCAATGACCAAGCTCAGATCACTGGGTGGCTGTGGCCAAGCGGCCCTTGGCTTGCTCAGGAAATCCGGCCCCTGTATCCATCGCTGGAGTTGTGTCGCTGGCACGCCACGAGATGCGTCGTCGGCTGGATTGGCAAGGGTGTTGACGTAATGCCACTGGAAAGTAGAAGATGCATCAAGTATCGTAGAAATTCTATTGGAAACGAAGGTCTGAAATCGTTTATCTTTGTTCTGTAGGTAGCGTAGGACACACGTGCTGTCGGTCCAGAAGAACGTGTCGTTCACTTCGAGCGTGAGTTCTCCCCGACAGATCTTCTCCAGTCTCGTGGCTGTAACAGCTGCTGAAAGCTCCAGACGAGGTATCGTAACTTGTTTGATTGGCGCTAAACGGGACTTCCCCATTACAAACGAACACTTGATATTGCCGGCTTCATCTTCTACACGTAGGTAGGTGGCGGCTCCATAGCCGTCTTGCGACGCATCAGAGAAATGATGCAGTTGGAACGAACTGATCTTGGCGTCATTGGTAGGCTTGAGACACCGATCTATTTGCACATCCTCGAGCTTCGGCAGTTCCTTCAACCACGATTGCCAGCGGGCCAGGTGTTCGTCCGGGATTGGGTCGTCCCAACGGAGCTTCAAGCGGCATAAGTCCTGCAGGATTTGTTTCGCCTTAAGGACAAACGGAGCGACAAATCCCAGCGGATCGAAAACGGAACTGACCACCGACAAAATGCCTCGTCTGGTTGCGGGACGGTCTTTCACTACAATACTGAAACCGAATTTGTCTGATGATACGTTCCAGCGAACACCCAGGGCTCTCTGAATAGGAGATTTGTCCAAGTTCATGTCCTTGACTTGCTCCGATCTTTCTGATTCTGGTAGTGACTCCAGCACGGCTTTAGAGTTGGACGTCCACTTCGTTAATCTGAATCCTCCCCTTGCCAACAATTCCCGCAGTTGGTTTGCCAATCTCACCGCTTCCGGATCTGTTGGAATGGACTTCAAGCAGTCATCAACGTAGAAATTTCTTTCGACAGTTTCGGTTGTTTCTGGGTCGAATTCGGCCTTGTTATCTTGGGCGGTTCTCCGCAGGGCAAAGTTTGCGCAGCTGGGCGATGAGGCACCTCCGAATAGGTGTACGTTCATTTCGTACTCCTGCACTGGTTGATCCAGGTCGCCGTCCGGCCACCACAGGAATTTCAGAGCCTTACGATCTTCAGAAGGGACACGGACTTGGTAGAACATGGCCTCGACATCCGACATCATAGCCACGCGCTCCTCGCGAAATCTTGTCAAGACGCCAACAAGCGAGTTGGTAAGGTCCGGCCCCTGTAAGAGCTGGTCGTTGAGAGACGTCTGGTGATACTTGGCTGAGCAGTCGAATACCACTCTCACCTTGTCGGGTTTCTGAGGATGGAACACGGGGTGATGTGGCAGGTACCACGCAATGCTTGACTGGTCGACTTCGCGGTTCTCGACTTTGCTGGCGTAATCATTCTTGATAAGATCGTTCATGAAGCCCTTGTACTTCTCGTGTACTTCTGGTTCTCGTTGAAGACGCTTCTTCAAAAGACTTAGTCGTCTTTCCGCTACCGGTCTGTTGTTTTTGAGTTGCGGCGGATGACTCTTCCATGGCAGCCCGATTTCGTAATGACCCTCCTTCAATTGGACGCTTTCCTCCATGATTTCCAGCGCTCTCTTGTCATTTTGCGACATTGACTGTTTGGCATCGTAGGACGAGTCGTTGAACTCCAAGTTGCAATAGTCCTGGAATTGCTGCTCAAGACGAGCAGTGCTCTGCAAAAAGTTGGACGTAGCTGACGTGTTCTTTCCTCTACCAAGAGGGCCATTGAGTACCCATCCTAGGATGGTCCGAGTCGCGAAAGGTCCTCCGCTCTCACTTTGTCGTACTTCCATTGGTTGTATTGCTTCGGGGACGTCGCTTCCGATAAGCAGGCCGATTTCGGCGTCGATCTCTGGCAAGGATAATCCTTCAAGATGTGGCCAGCGGTTTACATCTTCCTGGTTACTGATGGCGTCGCGGGAGATTGGTAGAGATGGTCGTGAATACACCACTGGCATATTAACGGGCTGTGCTGCTGAATCCAGTGAAGACACTTCAAGACTCACCTGGGAGCACTGCACGAGCGAGTTTTTACCTTGTATCGTCGTCAGCGACAGACTCGTCTTGCGGCCTTGAAGGTCGAGTTGGTCGAGCAGGGCTTCGGTGCAGAATGATGTATTCGAGCCCGAATCCAAGAATGCATACGTTTCCACCGTCTTAGATGCACCATGGCCAGATGCCTTGACGCGAACAGGAACGATGGCCAGCGCTGTCACAGAATCGTATCTTGGCGCGTTGGGTTTGGTCGACATTCGAACGTACAAACTATCGGCTTGTGTAGGGTTTCGTCTGCTGGCGTACTGTTTCCGTTGGCTACGCTCTCTTGACTGGTTTCTACGTCTACAGGGGGTGTTGCATCAGCATCGTGTTCGGGCGTCTTCTCGGACCTCGGATGCAGAAACGTCGAGTGCTTTGTTTCACATTCTGGCACCTTGCAGTAACTGGGTTTGGGACACGCATTAACAAAATGTCCTGGCAGTAGACAGTTGAGGCACAGTTTGCTGTTTCTGACTACTTGTCTTCTTTCGGCCAACGATTGCTTCCGGAACTTTTCGCAGCGTGACAGCCAGTGGGCCATCTTACACAGTGGGCACCACTTTTCTCTGGCTTCGGTCGAGGTTTGCTCGCCCCCTTGCGTTGCGAAACCGTTGGCACTACGGCGTGGTCGTTGATTTCCTGGGCCGGTGATTTTGTCTGACGCTCTTTCAAGTTTACCGAACACAGGATGGCTGGCTGCTCTGGCCTTCATCGTCACGAAATCTGTTAGGTCCTTGACTGTCACGTCTCTTTCTTCTTTTTCCACAATACGGTCCACCGCGTCTCGCCATTTCGCGCGAAGTGGGTACGGCAGGCGATCGACGATTTTCTTTAGGTTTTCTGGATTGTCCAGTTTCCCTATGTAACCAATTTCCTTCAATGTGTTGGTGCAACTCACCAGCTGGATGGAGAATCTCTGCAGCTCCTCGCCGTCCTCTGTTCTGATGGGGGCCCCGTTGATGAGTTTCTGTACGTGCGCGGCGGCGATCTTGTATTTCTGACCGTATCGCTCCTTAAGCAAGCGTCGCGCTTCTCTATATCCCTCCTCTGGCTGCATGGACAGACAACTTCGCATCAATTCCTGCACGCTTCCGGAAGTGTGCTGCACTAAAAGGTAGAGTCTTGCGCTGGGGTCGTTTGCCTTGCGCTCTACCAGATGTTCAAACGCACGCACAAAGTCGCAGTAACCTAGGGGATCGCCGTTAAACGTCTGTAAACTGGGTCGTGGTAAGGTGAGCGCCATTACGCTTTCTTGTTGCTGTTGGACTAGCTGCTGTAGCACCCCATTCTGACGTTCTTGCGTTGTCATTAGCGCTTGGAACGATTCCTCGCGAAACTTATCCAATTGAGAAAGGTCGTTGACGTACGAGCGTTCGTAGCCCTGCGGCGTTACAGCGCGCCATTCGGGGGCTTCAGGGTTGAGTGTTTGACGTGCAGACATGTCTACGGCAGCGGGCTTAGCTTCGGGACTTGAAGAAACCTTTGGGGCATTCTCGAGTCGTTGGTCGGTGAGATTTAACTTGCGCTGGACCGGTGGCGAACTATGCAAAACACTTTTGCCGTTACGACTGCGTATTTCCTCGATTTCGCTTTCTTCGTAGGCTCTTTGTTCAGCTTCAGCGACCGCTAACTCAGTCCTAAGTTCGAGTTTGGCTTTTCTTTGATTTAGTTTAAGCTCTTCGAGTTCGAGCTCTTGCCTTTCTTGGATAGACGCAGCTTTAGCTTCAAGCGCTGCTATCTTGGCTGCCGCTCTTGCTTTCGCGCTTGCTGAGCTTCTTGTCGAGCTGGTCTTAGACTTAGCGCGCGAGGAGGTATACGATGCCACGTTGCTAGCTGAGTCTTCCGGATGTACGATTACGTCAATGCATTGTTGTTTGAGCCACGATTGCATTTGTGTTTCTATGGCGCGCACTTGTTCTAACACGGTATGAAAATAGCTGGCAGACTGATCCAAATCGTCTTCATTCGTTAATTGTTTGTTGTATGCCTCATGAGCAGCCTTAAATTCGCTTGTAGCATGTTGTAATTCTATTGACATTTCCTTGACAACGTCAACACTGTCGCTTGAAAGCATCGACTCCGAAATCCGATTCACTTTGCGCGTTACGTTGGCCTTTGCGCTGCTACGAGCCTTCTTTAGGTCGTCGATTGCTATAGATTGTTCCATTGCGAGTTGAAGGTTCGCGATAGACAATGTTTATTGGCCGAGGTCGCGTTTATCGCCGCGCCGTGATGAGATTTGAACCAGATGGTTTACAACGCGCCGCACACAAGGCTAGCGGGATACTATTACTGTTGAAGCACAATAGAGCGTTGATTCTGACGATGCAAACGAGTAGAATTCGAACTAAATTCGAACTAATGTAACTCCCAAATTCTTCTGAGAGCTACGCTGCTTTGGTGTGCCGTTAACGCCACAAATTGAACTCCACTAAATTCGCTAACCACGATGATAGGATAACACGTGCGCGGATAATGGTTATAAAATGTATCTTTAATGATAAAGTTTATAATACTATGCGGTTGAAGGTATATGGTAACTGATCAATCCGGTAACGGAATATTGAATAGAGTGATCGCGGAATAGAAATATAGTGGGTAACGTTCGAACTAAAAATACAAGAATTAAACCGCACTAAGTCATGCAATCTAGGCAAATTAAATACTATAACGGGCATGCACTAAATACGAATAAATCAACTAACGTAGCTACATATGTTTACAAACTATAATAACACAAAGATAGAGTCTTACTTTAGTTGGCGCACACACCAAACTGCTGCTGAATACCGTCGATAGAGTTCGAACATAAACGTAAATAACCAATTGTAGAGTAGAGTGACCATACTCTAGTTGACAGTGATATACAATGAAACATTAAACTGTGTGCAGCTGCGCGTGTAGTCGCAGGAAGTAACAAAACGGAAATTAACGACATACGATAACAATAACAAAGTTAGGGTTTCAAACCAACATCTTCTAGCGATCGAATTCCGACCATACTTTACAAAACGAATAATACAAATTCCACAATACGTTTTACAGAAACTATTTTTTTGGAGAGGGGAATTCAAAAACCTGTTAGAAAACAATGCAATTCATCTAAGTGTTCTGGCAGTAATATACAAAGAATCTATTATTTAGTATAGAAAAAAAACACAAAGTTATCGACTTTTTAAAAAGTTCCTTAAAGTTCCAAACATAGTAAACCCCATAAGTATATCATAAAATAACCTAACATAACGCAATTATAGTGTATAAGAAAAAACAATACTCTATTTACATAAATTGGACATGTAGTCCTGATGCGCAGACATTTGCTTTAGCCTCTTCCGACAAACTCTGCCAGAATTCTCTTGCCACCATAACACGCCCGTCAAACATATAATTTTTCATCATAATGTGACCTGGATTAAGGTGGTAGTACGCTGCCTGAAAGCCATCGCTGTACACCAGATTTCCATGCGGGTCTTTACCCTCGACACGCTTATCATAGTGACGCACAACCACATTCTTCGGTGCTTCTCTGTAACACTTCGCAAAATTCTGAGCACAACCGTAGCATTTTTTTACCATATTAGTAAGAATCACTAGTTCATACCGATACGGGGAGTTACTTGAATGCCATTGTTTGCTGGTTGAAGGACTACACTGTTGATGATCAGGTACCGGCGGTTGCGGTGCTGGAACGGGTGGCATTATTCCCCGAGACTGATCATGAACATAAGAAATTACATGTCAAAAAAGAGCATGAATGATGATCGTCTAAAATATGCTTATTATCTAATGATGTTGGAAATGTGTCATTCTAATTTTACTAATATTTTCTGTTCGCTTATCATAGTATATAATTACCTGTGCAGTAGGGGTAATCATACCAGCAGGACGGTAGCGAGGGTTAGCAAGAGGTGGTTGAACTAAAAATGATCGCTGAATCTAAAGATATATATAACTTAGTTCAGCTCAATTTTTGCTACATGTTGTTTACAGCACGATGTATATATTTCAATTTAGTGTGTTTGCCGACTATTCGTCGACTATTCGCACTATTTGCCGACTATTCGCACTATTCGCCGACTATTCGCACTATTCGCCGACTATTCGCACTATTCGCCGACTATTCGCACTATTCGCCGACTATTCGCACTATTCTCCTTTTATCAATTGCCGATCTCAAAACGATGCACGCGCGTATAGGTGGTTCACACTTTGATTCACACAAACGTTTATTGATTGTCTGCTTGAATTTTACGCGGTATTTACATTTGTCTTTACGTTGAGCAAGCAGTGGCATCAGACCTATTTTTATTGGCATATTTTGCTTTTAATTTAACGCCAAAATAAACCAAATTTTATAAAATGAAATGATTCACACCCAAATCTATTAATACTTGAAAGGTCTTATCTGATTTATATAAACCAAAGTGTGAATCGTGCTAACTCTCAGTTTGGTCATTTATTATTGTCTGAACTTTAGGGAAAACAATATTGGACACTTCCAAGATACTATTCCAGGCCTCAACTTGATTTTAAACCGTTTTATTTTTTTGTTATTTAAGATTTTGTGTGTGTGAATCAGTGTGTGAACCAAGGTGTGAACCACTCTCATTTAATTTTAATTCGTCTGTCCCGGAAGCTTTAATGCGTTTGACTATATTATGTAATTATACACTGCTAATAATAAGTTTTGCAAAATATGAAATGCAAGTTTTCATCTCTTTTTGTTGGTGTTTTGGTATTTGCCTATGAAAATTAAATGTACACCATCTTACGTCCATCATCTCCGTGTTGACTCTGTCGATAGTACCACCTTTTACAAGTGCTAACGGAGCATCGCTGGTTGCAAAGAATGGCGTGTCTTTATCCAACACGATATCTTTGCTCATCACATTTTTGGGAGCAGGAAAATGAACAGTATCACCCTCTAACACTTGCAGGAACTCACACCAGGGTATAAGCGAAGGCTTCCAGCGAAAATCGTTTAGCCAAACCACCTCAGCATCTTCAATTCCAAGCCAAGCGAAGCTTCCAGACGCTGGGTTCATAAAACATCGGAAAATCTTTGTCAGGGGCGAAGAATGAACGATTTGCCACAATTTGCCGGCCCATAGATATATATGTTGCGATATTTCCCCCGACCACGTTTCAATGCGTCATAGATAGCAGACGCGAAACACTCTTTGGCGATTCCGTTGGTATCTAAAATTTCATTCGCAGCTGAAATCCACGCACCATGGCAACCATCGACACATGAACTAGCCGCACTCTCTTCCAGCAGTTGAAGACGTGATTTATTTGCGCGTTCCAGCTTTGCTTGCGCCTCGCTCAGCTCTTTAGCCGTATCTATGGCCTCGTTCACTATCTTAGGCCCCCGGTTCGAAACGAACTCTGCAAGGTCTGTCTTACCCTCTTCTTGCCATTTAGCCGCCAATGCCATCAGTTCCAGACGTGTCTTAATTTTTTTGGTTTGTATTATCCGTACAACGTCAAACACGGCCAGTCGCTTTTTTTTTTCCCCTTGCAAATCTTTCCTGCCTTCTTTCGTTGCCGTGACCCATTTGTAGATGGCGGTGGTCCTGAATTTGCGAGGTCTGGATGGCCTTGAGACAGCACAAATTCTGTATCTTCCTTGACAACGTATTCATATGCTGTATAGTAATTTGCGTGGTTGTCGGAAAAGTTCAGTTTTACTGCCGTATCTATTATCGATGAAATTTCTAACAGCTCGCCATCTAGCCGTGTTGCTCAATTTTATAGCCATATGGAAGTGACTACCACCGTTTTGATGCGCCTCCAAACTGACTACCCACTGGATTATCCTCGACCGGGAACAGGAATGCCATGAATTAACAATTAGGTTCGCAAATTCTACTCTGGACATGCAGTTGTGAACTGTCGCATTGACTAAACGTGATCAAATAAACGCTCTTTGGCTTTGGAATACTCGAGTTAGCAGTTGTCTCAGCCATTGCCTTCGACTAAATGAGGTGGCTAGAATAACCGGAAGTTACTTAACCTAAGGGAAAATAACTCCTGGTGCGCCCGTACAAGCCAATGTAAGCCAAGTCTTGCTACATAATATTAAACAACCTAGAGATAGATAAACGTTTATAACAGAAGTCAAAACGCGAAGTTGAACTTGATATTCAGAAAAGATTGACTCGGAGAGGCCCAATACTCTGTTAATTATTAACTTTTTCAATTTTCGCTCGAACTCGCTTTTTGAATGTGCGGAAAATTGAACTTAATAAGCCCGACCTAAATGTATCATTACCATCTGAAAATATTCCTAATACATTAACATTAACAAAATTCATTTTAGGCTGTAGGGTTCAGACAATCATTTTCAAAAGAGTTAGGACAGGTAGCCAAATTACCGATTTATAAGACAAACCCAGATCCCCCGCGCCCCCTTTTCAATGTTGTGTCCCAAATAGATGGACATTTTGTTCCGAAACGTGTTTGGATTTGAAAACCAACATTGATTGGGGGAGGGGGGTGGATGTATAGAAATCATCCTATATAGTAGATTTTAGCTAAAGATAGTAGGTGTCCCAACTACTTTTGAAAATGATTGTATGTTGTTTCTTACAGAATATTCTGCGTTGATAATGAGTCATGATTTAATATAAAATGATGCATTTTAATCAGATTCATGTTTCATAATATGAATATGAACCATGGTTTGGTTCAGGATATTGCAGTGTTTCAAAAATTGATACATAATCAAAAAACTGTGATTTGTCTAAATAGTATGAATGATATATTACTTTTTTAGACTGCACAAGTATTGGATATGGCAAACAAAAAACTTGAGGTTGCCAGAAGAACTGAGCCATCTGTTTGGGGGACAACAGTCACAACACAATGACAAATGATGGATGTCAGAGGTGTTGGAAGAGTTGGCCACCAGATGGATCAATTGACACAAGAAAACATTCTTATACACTATACCTTAGCAGGTGAATTAGCTGACGAAGATTCAGAAATATAAAATATAACATTGCATGGAAAAACATTTTCAACGCAAGCAACCTCACTAATATTAGGATCATTTTCTTGAGGACTGTTCATTTATTGCTTATTAAAAATAGTGTAGATAAAATAAGTTTATTTATGTAGATAGAACTATTCCTACATATGCACATAAGATGGAAACGTTTGAACATTCCAAAAAACATAGTGAACAAAAAAAAACTGTGAGTTATTGAAAAGGATTTATTTGTTAGAATTTGAATGCCCGAGGGTGTATAAAGAAAACAAGATGTTTCCAAACTAATAAAATGTTGTCAAGCACAAGAGTTTATCACAACTATGTTTAATCTAATAGCCAATAAGGTCCCTTCTTTTAAAACACAATGTATATGTGATGTGCAAACATAATTAACTTAAATAAAGAAAATAAAATATATTGTTAAAAGCACATAACTTTCTGCATGCCCTTGGAAGTTTGAAGCCTGTATATCAATCTTAACACTGCAGGGTTGTTTTCTGTCTCAAACTATCAACACCCTTGTTCTACAGCAAACTCTAGATACAATGTCTGCTGTAAACATTTACATTTATTTTCACATGAACAAAGTTACTTTAGGATTTCTTGCTTCATCTAAGAGGTTTGTGGGACATGGAATTGTGCACTACAAATAGCCTGGTGTCAAAATTGATTGTTTAGCATAAATATATTTTCTTTTGTCATGTTTATTGTTTTGGTTCTAACTTCTAATGCTTTTCCTATTTAGAATAGTATATTTACTCAAGTTTAAATCTGTATAAAATGGTACACAGTTTGTGTCTTTACTGCAAAACTACCTTAATTGTGAACTAGAAAATCATATTAAAATGCTCCAATTATGAAAATAAAGTTCATTTGTTAATGTGTCAGTGTATCAAGTTGAAATTTTTAAGTTTGTTGAACAGCATTCTAATTTTTTGTCTGCTTTTAACACACAAGCATTTAACTAGTGGTGGTGT